GTGTCCCTTAAAGGTATACTGCCATACTGTGCCTCTCAAAGGTATACTGCCAAACTGTGCCTCTCAAAGGTATACCGCCATACTGTGTCTCTTAAAGGTATACCATCATACAGTGTCTCTTAAAGGTATACTGCCATAATGTGTCTCTTAAAAGTATACCACCATAATGAACTTCTGAAAGATATAACAACAGACTGTGTCTCCTAAAGATATACTGCCACACTGTATCTCTTAAAGGTTTACCATCATATTGTGTCTTTTAAAGGTATACCGCCATACTGTGTCTCTTAAAGGTATACCATCATACAGTGTCTCTTAAATATATAACAACAATCTATATCTATTAAAGGTATATTACTATACTGTATCACATGAAGTTATACAGACCTAGGGGGTAGTTCACTCAGTTGGCTGGACAGCTGGTTTGTGATGCTCGGGATCTTGCACATTGCATCATATCATGTGGGTTCGATTCCCACACTGGCTGAGATTATCATGAAGGGCTCTCCTTTTCAACCTTTCCCCTCACCTGAGCTGTTCCTGACGGTTAAACCATCACCTGTTGTCTCTCTTTCTAATGAGAGACCAGCCCTATGGTCTGGTAGGACGATAGTGACTTTACACATTATACCGACATGAAAGTATACTGACGCTGAGCTGCAGTACAAGATCCCTGATGGTTTTCCCTCATCAGAGATGTCCAGGAGATTAACCTTCAATCCCAAAGACTCTGATACGATGTTAACTGATGGCCCTTCTCCTTGCTGGTGTTCAAGAAGGGTGATCTGGGTGAGCAAAATTGTGGGAGGTGGGTTCATGTCCAAATTACGGTGCTGTGATATTAATAAAATTATTGCGGTTTTTTTTCGAACATGAGTGTCACCAGCAAAGCAGAACCACAGCGAGCAGATTTCACAAGTTAAACAGATCTGTCTCTAAACTGCAGGCAACAGGAACGTAGACGATAGTTTTGCTACTAATTCTCATCGTCAATTGACATCTCAACCTCTGAAGTCTCATTAAAGCCTACATCCTGCTGAAGGAGCTGGGTAAAACGCAAAAATCGGCAGAGTCTGGTTACCCACTGCCTGCAGAGTTTTACAAGAGGGAGGTTCGCTATCTTTGTATCTCTTCGATTCGATAACGAGCATACAGGAGAGACACAGTAGATGTTATCTGACCATCTCTCAAATGCTGCGCTTGGAAAGAACAACAACAAACTAATTACCGAACCATGTTGCTTCAAAAAAGAAAATAGCAACACCATTCCTTGCTAATTAAAGTTTCAAGTTCTCTTTCATCAATCTTGGATGTATTTAGTAGCACCTCCTGGATTAAGTGGACTATACCTGAGCCAGCAAACACCCTGGGTTCACACAAACTTTGGAGAATGTCCCAGGGACAGGGTAAAGTTGCCATAGTCCTACCAGATGATACAGCTACTTTCCTGTTAGCAAGAGAGAGAGAGACAGACAACTGGCAGGGAGTTGAACCTTAGGGGAGAGGTTGAGAAGGAGAGTCCTTCATTGTAACCTCAGCTGGTGCAGGAATTGAACCCACACTGTTGGCACCTCAGAGCAGATGTCCAGCCAACTGAGCTAACCGACTCCCTATGTGTAGAATAGCCAGCTGTAAAAAAAAGCCTTTGTTAGGTCCTTCAATACTTCATCCAGTTTCTGAGGTTGTGAGTTATAACATATACCTTGCCACATCAGATAAATGCTGCTGGAGGCAAAACTACATTAGGGCAATCTGATCAAAACAATGTCCATATTAAGACATTGGGGGTGGGTTGGGGAAGATAAAGTTAGAAGGAGGGGGTTTTTGAGGGTGGGCAGATATGAAGTGGACTCTCTGAGAATCTATTCGCCCAGGTTTAACCAACCAGGTGGACAGTAAATGTGCTCTTAAGTTTCTATTGTGGGTGTGGAGGGGGAGAGGTGTAGGTCAGTGTGGCTGTGTGTGTGTGTGTGTGTATGTCTGTGTGTATGTCTGTGTGTATGTCTGTGTGTGTGTGCTTGTGTGTATGTCTGTGTGTGTGTGTGTTTGTGTGTATGTCTGTGTGTGTGGGTGTGTATGTCTGTGTGTGTGGGTGTGTGTGTGCGTGTGTGTGTGTATATGTGTGAGTGTCTGTTTGTGTGCATATGTGTGAGTGTGTGTGTCGGTGTGTGTGTGTCTGTGTGCGTGTGTGTGTCTGTGTGTGTGTATATG